GGGGCTCGATCCCAGGACCCCGGGATCATGACCTGAGCCGAAGGCAGACGCTTAACCGACTGAGCCACCCAGGCGTCCCTCCTTATATAATTTTGTATGTTGAAAAAGATGAAAGGGCAGGAGGAACTTAGCTTCAGGGATGCAAGCATGTATGAAAACATCAAAATGTGTATTTAAAATATGTGCAGTTTAAGTCAAGCATATTTATTTATTATTTATTTATTTGACAGAGACAGACCAGCGAGAGAGGGAACACAAGCAGGGGGAGTGGGAGAGGCAGAAGCAGGCTTCCTGCTGAGCAGGGAGCCCAATGCAGGGCTTGATCCCAGGACCTGGGATCATGACCTGAGCCGAAGGCAGATGCTTAACGACTGAGCCACCCAGGAACCTCTAAGTCAAGCATATTTAAATCACACACTTTTTACAAAACAAATATTTAGGGGCGCCTGGATGGCTCAGTTAGTTAAGCATCCAATTCTTGGTTTCTGTTCAGGTTGTGATCTCAGGATCGTGGGATCGAGCCCGTTGGGCTCTGTACTTAGCAGGGAGTCTGCTTCCCCCCTCGCTCTCCCTCTGCCCTTCCCCCCCCACTTGTGCACATTCTCTCTCAAATAAATCTTTAAAAAACAAAACAAGAACAAGAACAAAAACAAAACAAAAACACCCACAAATACTTAAAACTTGCCACTTACTGGTCATTTTATGGTTTTATTACCTATTAAAGTTATCTGTGGCTACTGTATCAGTACTTTGGGAATAGAATTTAATGAGGTGCTACTGGAATATCTTACCAACTCCATGTTCAGTGACATCACCTTGGCAAGTTGACATTTACCATGAGAACAACAGGGATTGCCAAAAACTAAAATCTAGGCTTGATTTAATGTGTTATTGAGTTAAGATAGCAAAGAATATGTTAATGCAGATTAAACGCGTAAGTCTGGTGCATGTGGGCTTTCAATTGTGAGGACAAAAATTTGAAAATCTTCTAGTACTCAAAAACAATTGTTCCATATAATACTTAAGTACATAAAAAGAAAATAGGCAAAGATTATGGGCATACATTTTATCATGGAAGATAAACACAGAGTAAATAAATGACAAATGCTCAACATCATGAACACTTTGGGAAATGGAATTAAAACCAAAGTGACTTACCACTACACACTTATTTCAAGGATGTCACGGAACTTGACTTTTCATGTGCTAATGGTGGGAAGGCAAGAGAGAATAACCATTATAGATCACAGTTTCCCATTTCTTAAAATGTGAAACATTCACCTCCACTCTAACAGTTTCAGTTATTACAACAAGAGAAATAAAACATATATCCACATAAAGAAGTGAATGTAAATATTCATAGCAGCTTTATTTGTAAATACCCCAAACCTGGAAATAACCTGTATGTCCAGAACAGATGCGTGGATAAAGTCATTATCGACAAAATAGAATGCTACTCATCAATAATACACAGAATTCTAACATTTCTCACATTTAAGGGTTTTCTCCAGTGTGTACTCTCCTGTGTCTAAGGAGGTTAGATTTGCGGCTAAAAGATTTCCCACATTCACTGCATTCATAAGGTCTTTCCCCAGTGTGAACTCTCTGGTGTTGAATGAGGTCAGATTTGTGGGTAAAGGGCTTCCCACATTCACTGCACTCATAAGGCCTTTCACCAGTGTGACCTCTCTGGTGTTGAATGAGGCTAGAACTCTGGCTAAAGGTTTTCCCACATTCACTGCATTCATAAGGCCTTTCTCCAGTGTGAACTCTCTGGTGTTGAATAAGGCTAGCACTTTGGCTAAAGGATTTCCCACACTCCCCACACTCATATGGCTTTTCTCCAGAATGAACTCTCCGGTGTTGAATAAGACCAGAGCGCTGCCTAAAAGATTTCTCACATTCGCTGCACTCATAAGGTCTTGTGCCAGTATGAATCCTCTGGTGTTGAATGAGGTCAGATTTTCGGGTAAAGGATTTTCCACATTCACTGCATTCATAAGGTCTTTCTCCAGTGTGAACTCTCTCATGTTGAATAAGGATAAATTTACGGCTAAAGGATTTCCCACAAACACTGCACTCATAAGGCCTTTCTCCAGTATGAACACTCCGGTGTCGAATGAGGTTAGAGAACTGTCTAAAGGACTTCCCACATTCACTGCACTCATAAGGCCTTTCTCCACTGTGAATTCTCTGGTGCTGAATGAGTTCAGATTTGCAGCTAAAAGATTTCCCACAATCACTACACTTGTAAGGCACTTCTCCAGTGTGAACTCTCCCATGTCGAATGAGGTTAAAGATTTGTCTAAAGGATTTCCCACATTCGCTGCAATTATATGGCCTTTCTCCAGTGTGAACTCTCCGGTGTCGGAAAAGGCTAGAGCTTTGTCTAAAGGATTTCCCACATTCTCTACACTCATAAGGCCTTTCTCTAGTGTGAACTCTATGGTGTTCGATGAGGTTGGATTTGTAGCTGAAAGACTTCCCACATTCACCACACCCATAATGCATTCCTCTAGTGTGTAGTCTCTGATGGTGAATGAGTTTAGATCTGTGGATAAAGACTTTTCCACATTCACTGCATTCGTAAGTTCTTTCTCTAGTGTGAATTCTCCAGTGTTCTATGAAACTGAAGTTATGGGTAAGAAACTGTCCACGATTTCTGCATCCATAAGGCTCTTTATCACTGTGAATTCTCCAGTCTTTAATAAGGCCAGAGATTTGGCTCAAGAATTTCCCACATTCACCACACTCATATGGCCTTTGTCCACTGTGAATTTGTTGGTGCTGCACAGGGCTGCAGTTCGAGCTGAAGGCTTTCCCACCTTTGCCACACTCATAAAGCCCTTCTCCAGAGCAAACACTCTGATGTTGATCAAGTCCATGGTTGTGGCTGGCAGCTTTTTCACATTCACCCCCGTTGTACTGACTTTTTCCACTGTGAAAGGCCTCTCCACTCTGGTTGCCACGGTGTGGCTCCTCACTGTTGGGACTGGTCTGGAGCTGAAGATGTCCCGAGGTCGCTGGGAAGTCCTCTCCAACCTTCCTACATGTGAAAGGCTGCCCTGACACACAGAAGTTGCAGCTTGTCACATACGAGGCCCTGGCCACATCTCTTTTCCAGGGCTTCTCCCAACTGCCATGCCTCTGTTGCTGGTGAAGGTCTGCACGGAAAGAGAAGCATCTCACACATGTGGCACCCAAGTATGGTTTCTACCAAGGGTATATTGTTGGTGCTCAGCATGGTACAAAATATCTTTCAAGGCTGGGATACACATCTCACAGGGATGGATCTTCTGTGTGGACAGACCTGCCTGAAAAGCCCTGACCTGGGACTCTCCTACAGACACAGTCTGCTCAGAAGGGGCCTCCTCATCTTCCATCCCATGCCTAAAACCTGAAAGCAGAAATGCTGAAGAAATGCATACTGACTTCGGTGGGAGGGGGAAGCCCCATTTCAAATGTGTGTCTGACACAACAAGTTGCATCCATGTGATTGTTATGAGAACAAGGCAGCTGGGGGCAGGTTGAGGTAGGGGCTGCTTGGTGGTATTGGGCCTCTGGAGAGACCAGAATAGGAGAGACCTCAACAGACAATACACAAGCATAGGGTGCACCACATGGAGGAGAGGTCCCTGCCTCCTCACTCCTCCTTCAGTAGGACCTTATGTGCTGGCAACATGGGCATGCTGTGTGGGAGGCTGCTTGTGGCCTGTCCCAATAAAATTCAACTGGACCTGAGTAGCTGGTTTAAGGACTGTGTAAGGATATGTGCACCCCTCATGACACCATGTGCAGGTCAATGTTGGAGGATATTGTAAAGGGAGCAGTGCAGAGGAACTGGTGGCCCGGGAAGGCCACAGAAGTGGAAGGAGCCAGAAGTCTTGGATGAAATGACAAGTCAGCCAACTGTTAAGTATGCAGAAGAAAAGGTAGAAACAATACATGGCTGGTGGTACCTGTACCAAAACACTACCGATCCCATGGCAAGTTCCTGGATGATCTGAATAAGGCCCTGACGTCATGCCCTCCCCCAGCTGCCACTCACAAGGGCCAGACCTCCTCTGAGACCATCTTGCCATGTCCACCCTGTAAAACCAGTGTTTTCCCTGCACTCTCCACTGTGTAACTCCTCAGAACCTGCATGACGCAAGTTTTAATGAAAGACGCACAGTGAGCGGCCACCGCCGGCCCTGTGCAACTTGTCATGCAGTAATATTCAGGAAAGAAAATGTAAAATACAATCGAGGGAGGGTCTTACAAGAACAGCCCATGGTCCATGTGAATAATGACCATGACCTGGCACAGGCAGTCACAAAGAACTGTTAGCTAGAGGAAGGGGCAAAACTAGAAGCCAGGGATCTGGACACAGTCACCCTGCCAGGGAGAAGGCAAGGTGGGATCCATTAAGTTAACTTCAAGACTCCTGACTCCCAGACCCTCCCATGTACTTTTTGAGCTAACAGGTGTCAGGGATGCTTGGGCAGTCCATTGCTCGGGGCACTATACACAGCTCAGCACGAGCACCCACAGCACACATAACAAGAAAGTGGTGGAAATTAGGAGAGCCCGTGGTCCAGCTGTGGGAAAGAAAGAGCCAACTCTGGGGAAGAAAGGAAAGGCAGGACGTCACCTCAGGACACAAGGAGCAATGTGACAATCTTACCCAGCGATGCTACAAGTGCAAAGTTCTCCAGCATCACATCACAGTACAGGAGTCTCTGAGTTTCATCAAGGAGCCCCCATTCCTCCTGGGAGAAGTCAATGGCCACGTCCTCAAAATTCATACCCTGTCATAATGTGGACAGTTCATTCTATGATCAACATCTCTCCTAGGAGTCCAAGTTCATTATAACCCCCACCCCCCACATCCATCTTCAGCTCAGTCTACTCCACACCTCAGAGGAGATACCAGGCCTGGGTGTCCTTGGAGCCACTCTCTCCTCACATTCCTACTGATACTGTGTCTTCCCACAACAATAACAAGCAGATGGGCAGATAGAGGATATCTGAACGGTGGACCTGGCCTGGCAGTCACGATGCCTCTTATCATGTAGTCAGTGTCACAAACACAGGTTAGGGAGAGAAGCTAGCTATAGGGAGGGTGTGCATGATCTGACTCTGGTCTTATCAGGCAATACCACCAAAGTCCCCAGATCATCCCTCCAAGATGCAAAAAATGTGGCCTTATCCTTCATCCTTATGACCCCAATTCTAGTGTCCTGTGGTCATGCTTTCACACTCACTCTTTCTGCCACACTTCTCACAACTGCACTCCCACAGCTACAGCCCCCTCCTACCCTACACCACAGTCATCTCCTTGGCTTTTCTACATGTTATTCGGCATACGTGGCCCAGAAAATGCCTGGCAGTTTCAAACAGGATCAAATACTACTCCAGACTGATGGTTTCCACTGACAGAGGCAGCCTTTGGTGCTACTATGAAGACCTCCCTCCCTGTTCCTTGCTTGAACCTCACTACCAAGAAAATTTATATTCTGAAATACCAGATTTCAGATACACATGGCTCTCCTCCACCTGTGTGCCGCATGCATTTGACGTCCCCTCTCCAGTCACAGCTGTCCTCTCTCCATCTAACCCTCATTCAACACTCAGCTCCAGTGGCCCCGTATGTCCTTATACCCTACCCCCAATTAGTCTCATAAATGACCACTTGTGCCCCTAAGCTAATCCACCAGCCTAATCTGAACACTTAGGCCCCACCATGGAATACAATGAAATCCTGGTGAGTCTGTACAACAGAGAATAAGCACCAGCTTCCACCTCAGCGTCATCTTGTTTGAATTACTCCTATGCCCCCACATCCATCTCATGTCCACCTGTCCCCTGGAGCCCCTGGCCACATACCAAACCATACATTCTCCCCTACCTTCTCTATGATCACTTCTCTCCCTGATCTGTGTTGGGACACCCACATCCCACAACCAGGAAGCCAAGCAGGAAACCTAGTCCTCAGATCCACCCTCTTCTTCCTGGGCTACTATTACCATTATCCTGACCAGGATTCCCCATATTAAGTGATCCACAGCTCCTCCCTCGTCCACACACTCTCCACTACCTTTTGGAGAAGTCTACATCCCGAACTCCTCCTTAGAGTTCCAGAGGCCCACAAACTGTTCTCTGAAACATCTCCTACCCTTAATGGACCAAAAAGAAATCTTCTGATATCTCCAATGAAAATTACTCTTACTATGAACTTCCCCATCTCAACTGATGGAGCTTCCATCCTTCCAATTGCTAAAGCCAAACCTTCAAGTCATCCCTGACTCCCACCTCTCTCTACCTCAAAATTAGAAAACCCTGGAAGCCACACCTAAAACACTAATGCGGAATCCAGCCACTTCTCCATGGCCACCACCCTGCTCCGGCTACCATCACACTCACCCAGACTATTACAGTAGCCTCCTCTCTTCTCTTCCTACCACCAACTTCACACTTTTACTCTTCTCCATGTTGCAGCCCCAGAGAGCCTGGTAAGACCTCGGTCAGATCACCTGCCTTTACTCCTCCAAACCTCCCATAACAGCCATCACCAGGGTGTCCAGACCTGACTCCTGCCCCATTCCTCCCAGTTCCCACGAAAAAGAAAGGACACCTGCAGGCCCCTGAGCCCTCAAGCCTTTGCACGTTCTGTTACCTATGCTTGGGACCACCTTCCACATCTCATGGGCTAAGTACCTAGCCCAGCCCAGGATCTGGTGACCTACACAGGAATGCATTACGTCTGGGCTTCAGTCCTCAGTGCACTCTCGCTAGTTAGGTGATCTTTACAGAACTCAGCTTTCCGTGCCTATTATCACCCCTCTTCCCGTCCGCTCATCCTGTGAGCAGCTTCAGGAAACTTGTGAGAACCCGATTTCAGACACTGTCCCTCTCTTGTTCCCAAGTCTCCCTGGCTTCCACCGTTCTGAGAATGAAGGTAAAACTCCTGAGGCACAACTTCGCCTCACACTCTGTTGCCTGTAGACACAAGACCCTGGGTTTCCCCAGTGCTCCCGGCTCAGTCGCACCTCTAAGTCTCTGCACGAACCTGTCCGACCCCGGAGCCCGCTCCCGCACGCCGGCGCGCCGGCGCTCCCGCACGGGGCCCCCGCCCACCGGCGCCTCCCTGTCCCGGACACCGGGGCCTGGGCGCAGGGACGCGAGCCGGCGCCCCGCGCTCGGGACTTTAGGATGTGGGTGGGGGGAGGGCCCGGCGGACGAGCGTTTACCTGAGCCGGGTCCCTGGGCGCGGCCGCCGCCATAGGACTCGGTGGGCGGAGCAGGGCTGTGGGTGAGATCTTGATCTCAGCCTGCTGCGGGTCACCCCGGGGCGCGCCGCCTCCAAGCCTTAGAACCGTCTCTTTGTAGCGGGGAGAACGCTTCTGCCGCCGACCGGGGGCTCCGAAACCGCAAAGTGAAGACTCCAGAAAAGCCAAAATGACCGCCACGAGGAGGACGCCGGAAGTCCCGCCCCGACCTGGTGCGTCCGCATGGAAATGCTCCTGTCCTGGGCTTTCATTGGTCAACTCCGCCACCGTTAGGCACATTGCCATCTGGGTAATGTAGTTTCCTCAGCCGCACAGGTGGTTCGAGTGTCCTAGTCCTTGACCTCAGCGAATAAAGGTTTCGTGGTGCCACGAGTCTGAGAAATAAGAGTCCTCTAGCCTTCAGGGAAAGGAAGCTGTTTACCCCTTCTGGAGAGTGTTGTCTGCAACTGATCCTTGTTAGAGACATTTCAGACTCCATGAAGCTCAAAATTGTCCCTTAAGCCAAAAGTATTTCAGTTATTCTCAAATGCTACAAATTTAAATGGACACAGTCTCTTTAAATTTTTTTTTTAAGATGTTATTTATTTACTTGACAGAGAGGGACACAGCGAGAGAGGGAACACAAGCAGGGGGAGTGGGAGAGGGAGAAGCAGGCTCCCGCTGAGCAGGAAGCCTGACCCGGGGCTCGATCCCAGGATGCTGGGATCATGACCTCAGCCGAAGGCAGACGCTTAACGACTGAGCCACCCAGGCACCCCAGACAGTCTCTTTCAGACTCAAAATGCATCCACTCTTAGCTAGAATGTGATAAACACTTTCTTGCTCTTCAAATGCATGTAGTCAGAAGCGTTAGTCGATTTTGTAACTCTGTATCTTTGGTCAGGGCCATGACTTGGAAGAAACAGTGATGTTCAGACCGCCCTGAAGTAAGAGGACAAGGAGTTCTCTCTGCATCTGCTTCCCAAAGAGAACCTCTTTCCTGCCTGTATATTCAGTGATCATGTCCAAATCACAAAGCAACACTATTTATTCATTTAATATTTCTTCATATCTTAAGATATATTCAAATCCTTTAGAAATCTGACATCTATCTCAAACGGAGAACAACCTATTAAATTCTGTTTTGTTTTGTGATAGTGGCTACAGCGTTCTGAGGCAGAGTGCATGTACAAAAGAGTCATCTAAACACCACTGTCTCATCTCCTTGCTGAGGGATTATTGTTTCTTCAAGTGATTGCTGGGACTGTTGTGCCTGAGGAATTGATGATATAGCTGAAAAAAATTTGTGAAATGCAAATTTCAGAGAGCTATTAATAATGATTATGCAATTACTCAAAGATAGTGGTAGAAATAGCTCTGGGGAAATATCAGTGGAGGGTGAAAAAGGTAAGACATCAGATAATTTTTATCAGGACACACTTAAGTCTGAGAAGAAACAGTTAAGCTGGAGCGCCTGGATGACTCAGTAAAGCATGTGGCTCTTGATTTTGGTTTGTGAGTTTGAGCCCCATGTTGGACCTAGAGTTTACTAAAAAAAAAGAGAGAGAGAGAGTTAAGCTGAGTCCAATCTTTTTTTTTTTTTTTTAAAGATTTATTTATTTATTTGTCAGAGAGAGAGCAGGGGTAGAAGCAGGCAGAGGGAGAAGAAGACTCCCCACTGAGCAGAGAGCCCCATGTGGGACTCAATCCCAAGACCCTGAGATCATGACCTGAGCCCCACGCAGACGCTTAACTGACTGAGCCACCCGGGCGTCCCCAAGCTGAGTCCAATCTTGGCATTGTGATTCTTTTTAATCAATTTCATCCTAGTGGATTTGTAGTCTTTCTCATTGTAGTTTTAACTTATAATTTCATGACTAGTGTTCTCTAACTTTTCTAGGCCTAATGACCATTAAAAATGTTCTTTAATGAAGATTTTGCTCAAATATGTTGTCTATTTTATTTTTTGTCTTTTTCTCATTGATTTCTATGATTTTTTAAAAAGATTTTTTATTCATTTGAGAGAGAGCACAAGCAGGGGGAGAGGCAGACGGAGAGGGAGAAGCAGACTCCCGCTGAGCTGGGAGTCCGACGTGGGGCTCAATCCCAGGACCTGAGATCATGACCTGAGCGGAAGGCAGATGCTTAACCATCTGAGCCAGGCAGATGCCCTATGATTTCTTTTATATATAGTCCTTCAGTTAGATGTTCACAAATTTGTTTCTACCATTCTGTGTTACAATTTTTTTTTTTAAAGATTTTATTTATTTATTTGAGAGAGAGAGAATGAGAGAGAGAACATGAGAGGGGGGAGGGTCAGAGGGAGAAGCAGACTCCCTGCTGAGCAGGGAGCCCGATGCGGGACTCGATCCAGGGACTCCAGGATCATGACCTGAGCTGAAGGCAGTCGCTTAACCAACTGAGCCACCCAGGCGCCCTGTTACAATTTTTTTTTAAGATTTTATTTATTTATTTGACAGAGAGAGACACAGTGAGAGAGGGAACACAAGCAGGGGGAGTGGGAGAGGGAGAAGCAGGCTTCCTGTGGATCATGACCTGAGCCGAAGGCAGACGCTTAACCATCTGAGCCACCCAGGCGCCCTATTTTTATTTTTTAAAGATTTTATTTATTTATTTATATATAGTCCTTCAGTTAGATGTTCACAAATTTGTTTCTACCATTCTGTGTTACAATTTTTTTTTTTAAAGATTTTATTTAACATGTATATTTAAAATATGTGCAGTTTAAGTCAAGCATATTTATTTATTATTTATTTATTTGACAGAGAGAGACACAGTGAGAGAGGGAACACAAGCAGGGGGAGTGGGAGAGGGAGAAGCAGGCTTCCTGTGGATCATGACCTGAGCCGAAGGCAGACGCTTAATGACTGAGCCACCCAGGCGCCCCCCCGTGTTACAATTTTTAATAAGCATCTTTTGAGTTATTCCAATGTTTTTAGGGTCATCTTTACTTTTACTAGAAATTCTTCACTACTCCAATGTCTTAGTTAATACTCCTTTTATTAAATTTTCCCAATTCAATTTAATGTGGAGGTTCTTTCTCCTGATTGATTCCTAACTAATAATGGATTAGTTCTGGCAGTAGTCCTAGTAGATAAACCCCTACGGATGGGATTTGGGAATTGACTTGACCAAGCCCTTGGGCTTGAATGAAGTGCTGAACACCTAGCCAATAGGAAATGGGATGCTTATGACCCATGGTATGCATAGACAGCATAATGAACCCATTACCTAGGGTCGATTACGATGAAATGGTAACTGCAGCACGTGCCTGGGACCAAGTGGGAGCTGCAATGAGTATTAAGGCAGTGATGGTGACGACAAGGAGTTTGGTCTGGGAGGGATTCGAATTCACATAATTGCTTACAAAGTGAAAATGGTAAGCTCAAGAACATTATCTCACAGCTGAAGTCTCCATATGAGAAAGAGAGATTCTATGATAGCCCTAAAAGAAACTCTGTAGCTGCAGGATTCCTATTGCTGAAAATCAAAGCATTAAATCTGTAACTTGCTGAGTTACAATGACTGTTGAATACACAATCTCACAATGTTTCTCATGTGAAAGGGTGTTGGTTGATAAAGGGGGATTCTGAATGCTGGAATGGGGTCATCTGGTTGGATGCAAAGAAACGGACAATCTGGATTCTAAGTTAACCTGAGTCTCTCTTACCAGGTGTCTGAAGAGACTAGCCTTCTTCTGCTAATACCACCTGGGGCAGATGGCCTGTAAAGGAATGCTAATTCTCTACAAGACTCATCACAACAACCTAAAACTAGTATCAACTCAGCATGATTCAGGGAAATAAGGGGAAATAATGGCTTGATAAAAAAGAGACCCCTCACAGACCCCAAACCTGCAACCCTCCTGACCGGGCTGCCCATTGCTTTGGGTCATGAAAACAGCACCTCCTCAAGCTCAGCACAGCTACCAAGGTCTCCTTAAGATAAGATGAAGCTAAACCTGAGCTCTCTGGTGTCCACCTGCAGCGGGGGAGGTGTTCTCTGTCCTCAGTCCCTTGCCAGATGCCATGGTGCTGGAGAAGGTCACCTCTCTCTCAGACACCTTGGCTATCCAGGGAGCCCCTTTGGATTCACTGAGCAAAAAGTAATGGGAGTTTGTAGATGTATGAAAGGCACTACCAGCCATCATATATGGTGGAGCTCAGTGAAATGTTGCTGCTTTCCACCCCTAAGCTAGGATGTTCCTGAGTAAGAATAGGACCGGAAAACAAACCAACCAACCAACCTTGGCCAAATATCAGGTAGTCGTCTTAGGACTGGATACTCTGGTCAACAAATGATGGTATCTTACATATATTGTAAACTACTGGGCCATTACCTAAAAATTGTCCGTATCAGGGTAAAGAACTTTGGGACCATCTTACCTCACAGACACCCAAAATATAAATAAAAATCACCACATTACAAGACCTTCTAAGGACATTCCTTATTCCCTTGGGAGTTACAGACATGACTGATAGTACCTAATGCCACAGATTTTAACACAACCGGTTGAATGCCCATTTTCTAGGAATATGTCTCCTCCACAAAAAGTTACAAACTCAAGGGACACGGAGGAATTTCAGCTAACTCAGAATACCATAAAGGTAAGGAAAAGAAAGGAAAGGAGGGCTACAAATAGGATAATGAGGGACAGGATTTAGTAGGATTCACTGAGGAAATATTAAGCTTATCATAAATTACCTAACGCCAGAGTTCCTAAGTGGACCCTGCAATACTGTTTATAGAGGACAAAAAAGAAATAAAATTCTGGCTCACTAATGGCCCTCTTTCTATACTTGTTATGAACAGGCTTCCTAATGCAATTTAGACTCCAAGTTGACTACCTGAAAGATTATTTAGGTAGGGTATCTTAGGTAGATCCATCAGTTGCTAGAATGTCAGCTATACTCTGTGTTTTCAAGTATGTGAAATACAAATTAAAGATAAGAGGCTTAATTCTCCCTGTTGAAAATGGGGAGAGACACTCCCCCTCCATTCTGTCACAGCATTTAGCTTAGAGAACTTGCAAACACTTCCTTACCTCTTTAAAGCATCTCTTTAGACTATACAGCCTTTTGCCAGTTGGGCTTCTTTTTCCCCCAGATTCAGGACCCAGGATTGCCTTCATCAACAAATGGGAGCCGATTTCTTTAAGATGAAAGATCTTGGGTGCCTAGTTGGCTCAGTGGGTAGAGTGTGCGACTCTTGATCTTGAGGTCATGAGTGTTTGCCCGACGTTGGGTGTGGAGCCTACTTTAAACAAATGGAAAGATCTTGAGAGCCATCATTTTGAAATGCAGACATCAAGGGAGATAGCAGGTTTATCTTTCAGTTCCTATGGGAGGATAGGAACCTAACTTTGGTGAGTGCCTTGTTTAGTTTCAAAAAAACTACTTCCTGTCATACAGATAAAAGAAGTTTGTTTTACCTCTGGATAAACTCAATAAACTAACATACATG